TCTTCTTCTTTTACTTAAACAGCTTATAGAGAAGAAACTAATTTATTGAATTTAAAAGGGAATTACAATGGAATGGTTTTATACAAGAAACTCTCTGAATCATGCCAACGAAGTTGGCACTTTGAAACTCTCAAACAACAACCTACTTCCCAAGCCTAATTCACCCAGATCACACACACTGTGAATCAAGCTACTGAAGTAATGTACTAATGGACCCAAAGTAGATGAAGAACTCTCCATATTCTCTCACTACAGACTGTCAAGTCTTAATGAAGGTAAAAGGAGGATATTTATACTAAGAGAAGAAATTGACCGTTGCAAGAAGATTGAACCGTTCTGGACTTCATCATGCCCTGTCATGGAGTCGGTGGTGGTCTGTGGATCAGCACCGACGAACTTCTTGGAGGTTTTTCCGCCACTCCTTTTAGATGGGAGGCTAGGATTGAGCAGAACGATAATCCTAGTTAGATGAGAAGACTTGAAGGACGAATCCTTGAACGGTGTCGTTGCAGAGGAGTCGTTGTCGTGTGGCCAGAGTGAAACGTCATCGTTCCAATAACGTGGGGATGGTCAGAGTGAAACGTCATCGTTCCAATAGCGTGGGGAGGACGGCACCTTTCATCACCGAACCCCCTCTCCCCTCTCCAACCCGTCGGCCACCACCCCAGTGACCGGATTCCTCTTCTCTCAACCCTAATTCCAAATTTCTACCTCACCCAAATCCCTAATTCTCATATCAATTACGATCCTCAATCGCACACCTAGATCCGTGCTCTTTCAGTGGTATCAGAGCCTGGCTGGTGTGTCGATTCTCTGAAGAAATACTGCAGTCTGAAGATGTCGAACCCCGCGGACAAGCAACAATCGCCGCGCCAGCTCAAGGAGGTGGTGACAGTCAAGGATGTGACGACGAACAAGTATGATGCTCTGGCAGCATCGTTGGAGAGCTTAACGGAGGTGACTGTGAGGGCAGCCGAGGCCTCTAAAGGCTCGATCGGAGCAATCGAAGCCATGGGCGACAAGATCAAGGCTTCTATTGAAGAGATGGGCAAGAGTGTGGCTGATAACATCTGTGGAGCCCTGGCAGCGACGATGCAGGAAGTGCTAACCCAAGTTTTGAAGAGCCGGGAGCCGCTGGCAATCCCGGCCATGGGGGCGGCGCCGACAACGGCGATCACGGCAGGGGTGGCGACGGCCGCAGCAGCCGCGGCGGGCTCGACGACTAAGGAGGGCAGCGACGCGAGGGCCGCGGGCCAAGAGGAGCAGCCGCGCGACGGCGCGGGCGCGGGCGCTGGTCGGACCGGGGTGGTGGCGCGCCGGGAGAAGGAAGCCGTCGGCCGGCGGTGACGAGGCGGGGGCGACGCGGGCCTTGGCCGCGGCGGGCGGAGCGCCGGGTAGCTCTGTCGTGCAGCGCAGCCGAGCCGGGGAGCTGGGAACTTTGGGCGCGAGGAGCGGACCCGCGCCTGCGGGCCTGGGTTGCTGCCGATGCCGACAGATCCGGCCAATGACAAGGCCCGTGGGAAGCAGAAGATGGCGGGGTACGAAGGTGAGTCGTGGCCCACTGGGCCCAACGGAGAAGAAACCTGGCTGGTTGGGCCCGGGGAGGAGGAGGAGCTGAGTTTCGGTGACCTAGAGGGCTGGGTGGACCCAAGCCCAGAAGAGGCCAGATGGGGCGGGATGGTGGACCCGCAGGTGGGTCGAAACAGGCGGGGTAATGCGCGGGCAGGGGTCTTGGCAGAGGCCAGGAGTACGGGTACCCCCGTGGAGTACGCCGCGAGCTGCGGGAGGTCGAGGTCGAGGTTGTCAGGATATTGGGCAAGGGTCGGGGACCAAGCCCGAGTATGGCGGGTACCATCAGGAGGTGACGGACGACTGGCCCTATCCTCCCCAGCAGCTAGCCGCGGGCAGCTACTATCAGCAGGGACCGATGAACCAACCGCCTCCACCGAACACAGGCAGGTATGAATACAGTAACCCTGTATATGAGACTGAAGAGGAATTATTGTTCAGAGCTAAACCGCCAGTGATAGAATTTCCCAAGTTCGATGGTTCGGGAGATGTGGGTTTGTGGTTGTATGCAACTGAGAGGTGGTTCAAAAACCACCCGATCCGAGAAGAGCGGAAGGCGCACCTGGCATCCTTCTATCTTGAGGGAGATGCGCTCCAGTGGTGGGAATGGACTGAGAGGGCCTATGCAGAGGCAGGTGAGTTCATCTCGTGTCCCAGGTTCCAGGATGAGCTACGCTACCAGTTTGGCAAGGCGGAGGGGTGGGCCCCGGAACAGCTGGCCAAGCCCAGGCAGACAGGGTCGGTGGCCGAGTATCACGCGGAGTTACTTAAACTGGGAAACCAGTGCAAGGCAATGACAAAGGAAACTCTGGTGGGATTGTGTATGGCGGGACTCCGCCCTGAGCTGGCAACCGCCGTTAAGGTTTTCGAACCATACTCTCTTCAAGTTGCTTTCAGGATTGCAGGGCGCAAGGAAGAGGAGCTGGCTAGTTGGAGGACGTCGGCTGGGCGTATCTAGAAGGCCAGTGGAGGAGTGGGAGCAGGAGCTGGTACCTCATTGCCGTCGGGAAATGCAAGCCCGGCAGCCACCGGAGCAGCATCGGCAAGCAGATTCCAGTCAAGGCTGCCACCAAAGGGGTTTATCCGGCTGACTCAGGCGGAAATGGACCAGAAGCGCAGAGACGATCGTTGCTTCAACTGCGACGAAAGGTATACAGTGGGGCACTAATGCGCCAAGGGCCATCTCATGCTGCTGGTGGGGAAATGGGAAGATGAAGGAGAGGAAATGGAGGCACGAGAAGCGGAAGAGAAGAAGGAAGAGGAGAAAGAAGGTCCACCTTGAGGGCAAGGAGGGTTTCAAGGGGGATGGAATGCCAGACGATTATTAATTGGGGGTTTATTTGTTATTTAGACGTTTTATGTTATGTTGGCTATTTTGGGATTATTTGGGGTGAAATCGGTTAGGTTAAGTCTTTGTGTAGTTATAGGGAATTAGTCGGATTATATATATTATGTGTTAGGCCTAAGTTAGGGTTAAGCAATAACAAACAGAATTATTCCCTAAGGCTCTCCCTCTCTCTCTCTCATTGCCGAACCCCCTCTCCCCTCTCCAACCCGTCGGCCACCACCCCGGTGACCGGATTCCTCTTCTCTCAACCCTAATTCACAATTTCTACCTCACCCAAATCCCTAATTCTCATATCAATTACGATCCTCAATCGCACACCTAGATCCGTGCTCTTTTAGTGGTATCTCAGTTCCCCCAGCGGCGTCCCCTTCCAGAGTTCGTGGTCGGCGTGGTCAACTTGCGTCTGCGATCTTCTTGCCTTGGCTCGTGATCTTCTGGCAGGTTTGTGGTCCATTTTCACGATCAAGAACTTCGGTCCTTCGGTTGCAAGCGATCTTTGGCATGTCTGGTCCTTCTCCTTGATTCTACACATTCTTGCCCATTTCCTCCCCGTTTTTTTCTCATAATGTCAAATTCGTCCCAAAACAACATCATAAATGAAAAGGAACAAAATAGGCATGTAAATGACATTTTTTAAAACAACCGGAGATCATTTTAATACAATTTCACATAATAAGTGCAAAGTAAATATCACCTTTTCGTTATCAGTGTTTTTACACAATAATTTGCTCAAATATTATCTTTTCTAGACATGATTTTATCGTTAGACCATAAACTATTCATTATTAGACCACACAATACGAAATATATTATATAAAGCTCGCAAATTCACCATTATCTCTTTATTATTTGCAGGATATGTAAGGTAAGTTGATTTTTACCAAACAGGTTAATCAAATTTAAAAAATTTATTAACTTGACTTCGTTGTTATACCATACAGTACGAAAGATGTGTGTATTATTAACGTTTTATGATTGTATAAAACTCCCATATTTACCATAAACTATTTTTTATTCCGTTTACACTAAGGGTTTGTATGCCTGGTGATTTTTTACATAATAGCTTAATCAATGTAATTTTTTTATTTAACTTGATCTTATTATTAGATCAACAATATGAAAGATATGTGTAAATTTGGTTTAACTATAATAGTTACGTAATTGCAAATACATTATATAAAACTTATGGAGGGGTAATTATTTATTTTGTTAATTATTCCCTAATGATCAATAATATAGTAATTCATTTATTATTAACTAAATTGTTTATCATCTCATAAATAAGCAACACACAAATATTTTCTAAGGTAAATTATTATTATTTTACATAACGATTTAGTAATGAGACATTGTAAAGTATATGGAGAGATTTTATTTTTTATATATCAGTTAAACAAACGTGTGATGTATGTCTTTCGTAATAATTAAGACAAGTTTCTTAACGCAACGAAGCGCGGGCCAAAAAACTAGTATATCCTAATAATGAATGATTTGATGAATAACAATTAAATTGGACATATGGAAGAAAATGTACTTGATAATTAAATACAAGGTATAGTTAGTATATTGCTTCTGTATATGTACCATAATCTGGATTCAAATAGACTCATTTGGGTTCCGACACAATCCAAAACCATTAAGAGAGCATAAGATTTCATTTTTTGAATATGATCCAATGCACACGAGTCTTGACAATTGAGTCAAATTACCTAACTATGTCAACCCAACCATTATGATTCCTACTTGGGGTGTGGCCAACCAACATGTAAAGCAAATGAAGAGATTATCGGTATATGATGCTCTCGTGCTTAATGTTATTTTTGATTAACCATCAAATAAAAAACTTAAGAAAAAATTATAGTACATGTACCAACAATTTCATGGAAATAACAACACATAAATTAGAAAGAATATTAATACTCAAGATAATGCATACCAATTTTCTTAAACAACACATATCATACTTGGAAAATTTACTAGTTTTGCCTTTTTCACTAGATGCAAAATTTAAAAAGATTATCTTACAAATCAAAACCAAACAAATCCCTCTTTCACAGGATTTTAATTTCCCCCCTCCATCGCCATGGCACCAACAACATTATCTCCCCTCGTAATCACTCTCTTCATCCTTTTCTCCATCTCACTCAACTCCCACTGCTTCAAAATCACGACTCAACTCATCCACCGTGACTCCTACTTCTCTCCGCTCTTCAACGCCACCGAGACCACCGCCGATCGTGCTGCAAGGATCATCGAAGCTACCCTCGCCCGCTATGGTCACCACCTGAACGAGGACGACAAGCCACTGGCTGTCGACATCAAGGCCCCGGGGATCTGGGGAATCAAGCATAACATATTCTACGTCAACTTCTCCATCGGCGACCCACCGGTACCTCAGCTAGCTCTGATGGACACCGGCAGCGACTTGTTGTGGGTGGATTGCCCGCCGTGCAGTCCCTGCTCCACCAGTTCCGGAGCCACCTATTTTTACTCCTTCAATTCCAAGACCTACTCTCCGTTCCCTTGTACCGATGACTGCGAAAAATGCACAAGTACGTATTCATTATCGATAACGATATGAGAGCTTTTAACAACGGAAAATGATGGTCGCAAATAGAACTTTTTACAACCATCAAGTGGTTACCAAAGATACAAAATCGTCGCAAAAGATCTTTTTTCTTGTAGTGACTGACACCCACACATTTACATCTTACAATTTTCAAACGGCAAATGAATGAATTCACTTGAAATATGATTTGAAAGAAGCAGAAGGTTTCTTTTGATTAACCGCTACTCTGTACGATGAATTATTAGGCACTCCTGAAGTATAACGTCGTAGGAGAGATCGTGATATGTTATTACGAGCCGATTTGGAAGAAGTCTCTACTGAATTTTTCAATTTTTTTTTACGTACTCGTACTCATGAATTTGTTGAATTTTCATGTGCATGACGAAAAGGGGGTTGGCCATGGTCGCCGAAGCACTGCATGTATAGAATAGACTACATGGACGGCCACAGTTCAGAAGGAATCTACGCCACCGAACAACTAACCTTTCGGACCTCCAACAATGGATTCGTGACCACCATCCCGAAAGTCTTCTTCGGGTGTTCTAGTAAGCAGACCGGACCAGGAGGTCTCGAACCGCACGTCAACGGAATTCTAGGACTAATGGCTGGAGCCGGCGATGAAGATTTTCCCGATGGCCAGTTCCCTTTGGTTACCCGATTGGGTACTAGCTTCTCGTATTGCGTCGGCAGCCTGTCCGATCGTTACTACCCTCACAACCACTTATCCTTCGGCCTCGCTGTCGACTTGATCGGTGGATCGACTCCCTTGTACCTCCAAGACGGCAGTTACTTTGTCCACCTCTCCGGCATCAGCTTCGGTGGCAAGATGTTGGACATAAAAAAGGAAGTGTTCACAGAGATGGCGTTGAGGAAGAAGATTGAGATGGACAGCGGATCAGAGCTGTTTCTCCTGTACACCGAAGCTTTCGACGCGGTGAAAGCAAAGGTTGAGATTATGGCTTTCTGGGAGCTAACCCGGGTCTCTCCGCCGAGCCCTTTGGAGCTATGTTACAAAGGAACTGTAGACAGAGAAGGTCGAGGGTTTCCGGTGATGGGGATCCACTTCGTCGGTGGGGTGGAGTTGGTCGTGAATCGTTTTGGGATGTTCTGGCAGGTTACGGATGATGTTTTCTGCCTGGCTGTTGTTAGGTCAAAGGATGTGAGTGTTATTGGGATGATGGCTCAACAGGGTTACAATGTTGGGTATGATCTGAAAGCAATGACAGTGAGTTTCCAAAAAATGGATTGCCAACTTTTGGAAGGATGATGATTATTGATCAAATACATATGTAATATTCGCGTTGTACTTGTGTTAATGAATTTGTCGGGTAGAATCATGTTTTCTTGTCTTAGACGACTTTTTTTTTTTGACAAAAGATAATCATATATTGATTGAAAGAATATATAGTTACATCCTGGAATTCAACCAGGCTTGGAAATCAAAGAAACGACTTATCATCGGGTACAACGAAAGGGTCTTTCTAGACACAACATAGGCTACCCTATTACTATGCCGACCTACAAATCGAACACTAAATCCTGAATGGATGGCCAAGCAATGTAAGATTTCTTCAAGAACAGCACCCATCCGACTGTCACTGGCATCAGCCTGATTGTTTTTATCAATGATCACTTTGAAATCTCCCTCAAACCTCATTGTCGTGAACCCGTGGTCCAGACACCATAAAATAGCCTCTCGGAGAACGAGCAATTCCACCACCATCGGGTCATCGATTACTGGGAATTGAAACCCTTGGGCCATAAGGATATCCCTGGCTGGATTCATAATAAGATGAATTTTCTTTATAACGAATAGAAGATTATGTATATTGGAACTACATGTACATATTCGGTTAAGTCTTAGAAAGTCAATAACATAGATTTAGGGTATGTCTATGACGATATTATTAAAAATTCAAGTCAGAGTGACTTCATTAAAGGCAGACAAATGACTGGTATAGTGAATATATTGTATATGCCTCGTGTGGTTTATAACGAGTCGACCGAGTTCAACATAGTTTAAGGGTAGATGACTACATCAATAAAAAATTCGTAAATTTATATAATAAGTATGCGATTGGAACACCAAATAATTGATAGTTGCCGTGACATGTTGACTTCTTTGTTTGTAGTTGGAATGATTTCAAGGTGCGATACATACACCAATAGTTTTTTGTTGTACCGGTTGATCGCTTTCAAATGAAGGCAACAACCTAATAGAGCTATTTCTTGTTTTGTTCAATTGTCTTTATGTGCAGATCGATCGATTTTGGAGAACAGAAGGTGCACTATCCACAAATCCATGACGTAAATCATTTTTTAGTGTTTATGTGCAGGTCTGTAACCGTTTCCTTTGCTATATTGGATTAGGTTTAGACCCATATGGAGAAGTACTATAAATACTTCTCATACTCCTCTTTAATCTGTAATATCCTCGATATAGTGAAACTGGCTCTCTCTCGCCCATGGACTAGCTAACACACATCATGTTAGTGAACCACTTAAATCGTGTATCTCTGTTTTTTCGATTCTCGTTCGTATTCTTGCTTTATCGATTCCGGCAATTTCTCGATCCATAGCAGCGCCTTTATAACAAGTGGTATCAGAGCCGCGGCTGGAAATCAGGCTAGGGTTTTCGATTCAGAAGAATGACGTCGGTGAACATGAAGATCGAAAAGTTCACGGGGAAGAACAACTTCTCTATATGGCAGATCAAGATGCTGGCTTTATTAAAATAGCAAGGACTATGGGGGCCGCTGTCTGCGAAACCGAAGAAGGCAGGGGTCGGTGATGATGAGTGGAATGCCCTGGAGGAGAAGGCCCACTCGACCATCATGCTATCGTTGTCTCATGACTTCACCATTAAAGTCGGTGCTGAGAAGACTGTCGCGGGCTTGTGGTTAAAGTTGGAGAGTCTGTATATGACGAAGTCCTTAACCAACTAGCTGCATCTCAAGCAACGGTTGTTCAGCTTGAGGATGCAAGAAGGTACGCCTTTGAGGGAACATCTCGAACAGTTTAACTCTATTTTGCTGGATCTGCGTAATATAGATGTTCAAGTTGATGACGAGGATGCTGCCCTAATCCTGCTGGTTTCTTTGTCGAGTTCATATGAGAATTTCATTGATTCTTTAATTGCCGGTAAAGAAAGTGTGTCGTTGGAGAATGTCAGGTCTGCTCTTCATACGAGAGAGATCAGTCATAAGGCGTCCGGATCTGGTACAGGTGGTGAGGCATAAGGTTTGGCTGTTACAGGTGGAAAGGGAAAGAAAAAATCTGGTAAAGGGAATTCGAGCAAGAATTCCAAGGGTCCTAGTCCACAGCCAGGTGATGCTTGTTACAACTGTAAGGAAGTGGGGCATTGGAAGTACACTGTCCCAAGAGAAGAGGGCAACAGAAGAAACAAGGTTCAGTTGCCGTGGCAGAAGTGGACAACAGTTCTGAAGACGATCTCGCCTTGACTGTAGATGAGAAGGCACATCGTGGGGATGTGTGGTTTTTGGATAGTGCAGCCTCATACCATATGTCTCCAAACAGGGATTGCTTCACAACCTACGAGCAGATTGATGGTGGTAACGTGGTCATGGCAAATGGATTTTTCTGCAAGGTTGTTGGAATCGGGTCCATAAAGGTTCGGGCACATGATGGTTTGTTCTGTACCGTGAATGATGTCAGACATGTTCCACGGATGACAAAGAACCTGATCTCCTTGAGTCTTCTCGACAGCAAGGGTTTCAGCTTCAAAGGAAAAGGTGGAGTTGTGTATGTCTACAAAGGTTCAAGGAAGGTGTTGAAGGGCGTGAAGCGTGGGACCTTGTATGCATTACAAGGGTCTTTGCTGTCTGATTCTGCTGCAGTTGCATCGTCTCAGGTTCATCAGGAAGATATGACCACTCTCTAGCACAAGACTGGGGCATATGAGTGAACGGGGGATGCAAGATCAATAGAAGAGGGATCTTCTTTGCGAGCACAAGGTGCAGAATTTGGAATTCTGTGAGCATTGTGTGTTTGGGAAGCTACATCGCAGCAAGTTTCCCAAGAAGGGTATCCACCGGACGAAGGGGATACTGGATTACCTCCACTTCGACTGTTGGGGTCCTTCACGAGTTGAATCCATTGGAGGCAACAGGTATTTTTTTGTCTATTATTGATGATTATTCGAGATTTACTTGGATTTTCATGATGAAGCAGAAAAGTGAGGCTTTCACGAAGTTCAAGCAGTGGAAGACATTGATGGAGAATCAAACCGGGAAGAAGATCAAGAAGCTGCGAATGGAGAATGGTCTGGAGTTCTGTAATTCTGAGTTCAAAGAATTCTGCAAGGATGAAGGGATTGCCCGTCATCGGACTGTGAGAGATACACCCCAGCAGAATGGCGTTGCAGAAAGGATGAACTAGACATTATTGGAGAGAGCACGGTGCATGCTCTCTAATGATGGACTAGAGAGAAGATTCTGGGTAGAAGCAGTGAACATGGCGTGCTTCCTGATCAACCGTGGACCTCACACAGGTATCGAGTTTAAGACTCCTTATGAGGTGTGGTATGGTAAGCCTGCTGATTACTCTTCACTAAAAGTTTTTGGGTGTCCTGTCTATTATCATGTGGATGAGGGTAAACTGAACCCAAGGGTAAATAAGGGTGTATTTGTGCGTTACGGAGATGGAGTTAAGGGATTTCGAGTCTGGTCACCTTCTGAGCATCTAGTTATACTTAGTAGAAATGTGATATTTGATGAGAAGTCTATGCTTAACCCCATGTTGACGGTTACTATTGTTGAAGGTAGCAAAAATGTTGATAAGCAGATGGAGCTGCAAACTCTCAATGAGAGTGAGTTTGAGAACCAAGGCGGAGAAGATCAACATGAGGATGTTTCTACAGAGCCAGAAACTTCAAAGTCCAGTGCAGGAGCTCAACATTCTATAGCTTCCGGTAGACCAAAAAGAGCGACTGTAGGAGTACCTCCAGAGAGGTATGGTTTCGAGGACATGGTGGCGTATTCATTTCAGGTTGCTGAAGAAGTGGATTTAGGTGAGCCACAGTCCTATAGAGAAGCCATTTCGGGTGGCGAAACTGATCAGTGGCTTGCCGCAATGGGAGATAAGATGGAATCCCATGACAGGAATCAGACTTGGGAGCTAGTCAAACGACCACATGGAAGGAAGATTGTTACAAACAAGTGGATCTACAAGAAGAAGGAAGGAATCACTTCTAAAGAGGGCATGAAATTTAAAGCTCGGGTGGTTGCACGAGGCTTCTCGCAGAGGGAAGGAGTTGACTACAATGAGATTTTCTCACCAGTGGTCAGACATACTTCGATCAGAGTGATACTAGCAATAGTGGCACATTATGACTTGGAGCTCGAGCTGCTAGACGTGAAGAAAGATTTCCTACATGGAGAGTTGGAGGAAGAAATTTACATGACTTAGCCAGAAGGATTCCAGGTTCCGGGAAAAGAAGACTATGTTTGTAAGCTGAAGAAGTCCTTGTATGGACTTAAGCAGTCTCCGAGGCAGTGGTATAAGAGATTTGACAGTTACATGCTTGAGCTGGGCTACACCAGAAGTCCATATGATTGTTGTGTGTATCACAACAAGGAGGAGGATGGTTCGATGATCTATCTTGTTCTCAGTGCTGAGTTTGAGATGAAGGATTTGGGAGCTGCTCAGAAGATCGAAGAAGAAGCTTTTCTTGTCACAGAAGAGCTACATCCAGAAGATACTGTCAAGGTTTGACATGTCTTCAGCAAAGCCCTTAAATACTCCTAGTGCTTCAAATGTTCATCTATCCTCAGCTTATGCACCGCAGTCAGAGCCTGAGAAGGAGTACATGTCGAGAGTCCCATATGCTAGTGCAGTAGGTAGCTTGATGTACGATATGGTATGCACTAGACCTGATCTTGCACATGCTGTTAGTGTTGCCAACAGGTTTATGATACAACCTGGGAAGGAGCATTGGCAGGCTGTGAAGAGGATCTTCCTGTACCTTAAGGGTACACCTGATGTGGGGATTAGCTTCGGAAGTGATACAGAGTGCTTGGTGTCCGGGTATTCTGACTTGGACTATGCTGGAGATGTTGACACGAGGAGATCGATGACCGGTTATGTATTCACTCTTGGGAGTTTTGTAGTGAGCTGGAAGGCAACTCTGCAATCGGCGGTGACATTGTCTACTACTGAGGCAGAGTATATGGTGTTGACAGAAGCTTCTAAGGAAGGAATATGGTTGAAGGGACTGGTTGGTGATCTGGGTCTACATCATGATCAGGCAGTGGTGTATTGCGACAGTTTGAGTGCAATATGCTTGGCCAAGGATCAAGTCCATCATGAGAGGACTAAGCACATCGAAGTGAGGTATCATTTCTTGAGGACAGAGAAGAGGATTAAGGTGAAGAAGGTTGGCACCACGGATAATCCTGCTGATATGTTCACGAAGCCGGTTCCACATGGCAAGTTCCAACACCGCTTGGACTTGATGAATGTCTTGAGTGGGTGACTCCGCCCTGCGGGACATTGATGGCAGGAGAGAGAGAAGGAGCAGAGTACGTCAGAGATTTCAGAGGAAGAGGATTGATAAAAATTCTTAAATTTATATTATAAGTATGCGAAGGTTGATTGGAACACCAAATAATTGATAGTTGCCGTGACATGTTGACTTCTTTGTTTGTAGGTGGAATGATTTCAAGCCGCGATACCTACACAATAGTTTTTTGTTGTACCAGTTGATCACTTTCAAATGAAGACAACAACCTAATAAAGCTATTTCTTGTTTTGTTCAATTGTCTTTATGTGCAGGTCGGTCGATTTTGGAGAACAGAAGGTGCACTATCCATAAATCCATGACGTAAATCATTTTTTAGGTTTTTATTTGAATATTAACACATCAACAATATAAGGCCATGGAAAATCAGTAAACCTGGTAAGATCAGTCAACTATATTTTCCGGTCTACACATATTTTCAATGATATTATTGATCAATGATACATATTATAAACTCGCTAGATTGCAAGTCGCCATAACTTGAAATTTAACTCGCTAGATATTGATATTGCACCTTTGACTTTTTGAAAAACAATTAATAATACGGTTCACAATTCTTCAAACAAAATTCAAATGACGGTGTTTGATATTTTCGATGGCTTGTGTAACAAACCAAAATAAATTACTCTATTTCTATAAAAATTCAGTAAAAACTCTAGAATAATAATTACAATTAAGGCTACATTGCATGAAAAATATAAAATTTGACATGAGGTGAAAAATTTGATATGTACAACAATTTCATGGAAATAAAAAACACAAAAAATTTGTAAGGATTTTAATACTCATGGTATTTTATACCAATTTTCTTAAACAACACACATCTCATACTTGGGATAATCTTCATCACTTCATAATTACTCATTTTCCTTTCTTCACTATATGCAAAATCTAGAAAGATATCCAACAAAACAATCTTACAAATCCAAACCAAAAATTTATCCCCTTTCACTCAAAATTTCCCCCTTCCATCGCCATGGCACCAACAACAACATCTCCTCTCATCATCACTCTCTTCCTCCTCTTCTCCATCTCACTCAAGTCCCACTGCTTCAAAATCACGACTCAGCTCATCCACCGCGACTCCTACTTCTCTCCCCTCTACAACGCCACCGCGACCACCGCCGATCGGCCAGCAAGGATCATCGAAGCTACTCTCGCCCGCTACGTTCAACTGATCTCATCTTACGACGACAGGCCTCTGGCTGTCGACATCGTGGCCCCAGGGATATGGGGGATCAGGTTCAACATATTCTACGTCAACTTCTCCATCGGCGACCCGCCGGTGCCGCAGCTGGCCGTGATGGACACCAGCAGCGACTTGTTGTGGGTGAAATGCCCGCCGTGCAGTCCTTGTTCCACCAGCTCTTGAGCCACCTATTTTTACTCCTTCAATTCCAAGACTTACTCTCCGTTCCCTTGCACCGATGATTGCGAAAAATGCACAGGTACGCATCCATTATATAACAACTTGTTTTAACAACCAAAAAGTGGTCATCAAAAGATATAAACAATAAAAAAACTGACCTTTTGCGACAGGAAATTGGCGACAGGTGAACATTCGTCGCAAAAAGATGGGTTTCACGTAAAGTTTTGTGGCCGAAAAGTAAACCTTTCGCGAGGAATTACGTCGTCACAAAAGCTGTTGTGTTCTTGTAGCCAAATCGTCGATTTGGTCTTATCGTTTTTCTTGTAGTGACGCCTGCCACGAATATTTGTCATTTTACAGCATTTACATCTTAAAATGTTGAAACGTGAGTAAATGAATCCACTTTAATATATGACTTGACAGAAGCAGAAGGTTCATCTATACTTCTGGAGAAGTCTGTACTGAGTTTTTTCGAATTTTTTGCTTATTCATATTTATGAATTTTTCGAATTTTCATGTTCGTGACGAAAAGGGGGTTGGCCATGGTCGCCAAAGCACTGCAAGTACAAAATAGACTACGCGGGCGGCCATAGTTCCGAGGGAGTCTACGCCACCGAGCAACTGACCTTTCAGACCTCCAACAATGGCTTCGTGACCACCATCCCAAAAGCCTTCTTCGATTGTTCTAGCAAGCAGAGTGGGTCGGAAGGTCTTGACCCGCACGTCAATGGAGTTCTAGGATTGATGGCCGGAGCCGGCGGTGACGATTTCCCTGATGGACAATTCCCTTTGGTAACCCGATTGGGCACCAGCTTCTCATACTGCGTAGGCAGCCTTTCCGATCGTTACTACCCTCACAGCCACTTATCCTTCGGCGACGCCGTCGACCTGATCGGCGGATCGACTCCCCTGTACCTCGAAGAGGGCAGGTACTTTGTTCACCTCTCTGACATCAGCTTGGGTGGCAAGATGTTGGACATCAAGAAGGAAGTGTTCACGAAGATGGCATTGAGGAAGAAGATTGAGATGGACAGTGGGTCGGAGCTGTTTCTCCTGTACACTGAAGCATTCGAGGTTTTGAAGGAAGAGATTGAGAGGCTGGCTTTCTGGGAGCTGATGACACCGGTCTTATCTCCGCCGAGCCCTTTGGAGCTCTGTTACAAAGGGATGGTGGAGAAAGAGGCTCGAGGGTTTCCGGCGATGGGGATTCGGTTCGTCGGCGGGGTTGAGTTAGTTGTGGATCGGTTTGGGGTGTTCTTTCAGGTTAAGGATGATGTTTTCTGCTTGGCTATTGTTAGGTCAAAGGGTGTGAGTGTTATTGGGATGATGGTTCAACAGGGTTACAATGTTGGGTATGATCTGAAAGCAATGACTGTGAGTTTCCAAAAAAATGGATTGCCAACTTTTGGAACGATGATATTTGATCAAACACATATATAATATCTGCATTGTACTTGTGTTAGATGCTCTTATGAGTTTGCCGGGTATACACAACGATTATGTTTCGTTGTGTTAGACGAATTTTCTTCGTAACGAATAGAAAAGAGGATTATGCATATCGATCGGAACTTAAATGTACTTATTTGGTTAATTGTCCTAATGTGCAGGTCGACCAGGCCAGTTTTGGAGATCGAAAGGTGCACCACGCATAAACCAATGATGTTATTGATAAACGATACATATATATTAATTAACTCGTTAGACTCCAAGTCACCATAACTTGAAATTTATCTCACTTAGATATTAATTGTTGAACTTGCGACTTTTTGAACAATAATTAATATTAACACGATTCACATCTCTCCAAAAAAAATCGAACGAGAGTGTTTGATATTTTCGATGACTTATGGAACAAACTAAATTAAGTTACTCTACTTCTATAGAAATTCTGTAAAAGCTCCAGAAACTAAAAATTAAAACTATTCCTAGACTGAAAAAAGAAAAATTGACATGACATGTCAAATTTGAAATGTACCACAATTTCATAGAAACAACACAAAATTGGAAAGAACTATAATACTTATAAAAATTTATACCAATTTTCTTAAACAACACATCTTATACTTGGATTAATCTTCATCACTTCATAATCATTCATTTTCCTTTTTTCACTAGGTGCAAAATCTAGAATGATATCCAACAGAACAATCTTACAAATCAAAACCAAAACAAATCCCCTTTCACTCATAATTTCCCTCTTCCTCTTCTTCTCCATCTCTCCCCCCTTCCACTGCTTCAAAATCACGACTCAACTCATCCACCGCGACTCCTACTTCTCTCACCTCTACAACTCCACCGCCGACCGTGCTAGAAGGATCATCAAAGCTACCCTCGCCCGCTATGGTCACCTGATCTCATCGAATGACGACACGCCGATGGGTGTCGACATCGAGGCCAGTGGGACCTGGGGGATCAAGTACAACATATTCTATGTCAACTTATCCATCGGCAACCCGCCGGTGCCGCAGCTGGCCCTGATGGACACCGTCAACGACTTGTTGTGGGTGAAATGCCCGCTGTGCAGTCCTTACTCTACCAGCTCTGGAGCCACATACTTTTACTCCTTCAATTCCAAGACTTACTCCCACTCCCTTGTACTCATGACTGCAAGAAATGCACACGTAACTTGAATTTTCAAGTACGTTTATGTTGATTTTTCCAAGTTGTTTCCGTCAGGAAACCGTTTAATTCCAATAGCTCGAATTGTACGAAGAAAGTTAAAAACTAATCTTATACCACTCTCCAAGATTTTTTGGAAAAATTTGACTATTGATCTCAATACCACTCTCTCGCCCGCTTTCTTAAACGAAAATCTGCTCATAGCTTTGAAGTTTACACTGGTTCACCATACTTTGTGCTTAAATAAGTCATTAATATTGGAGGTCACCAGGAGTTGAACACGTGACCTCATGATCAAACCAACTATGATATCTTTGTCATAAATCGTTTTCTTACAATAACTCAAGTTGTTGGGATAGATCACTACAAGAAAAAAGGTATTTCGCAACAATTAAAATTGGTCCCTAAAGGTCGAAAATTGGTTATAAATACTTTCTTCGCAACCAAAATATTTTTGTTGCAGAACTGGTCGCTATAGCCGCATTACGAATACCTAACGCAACCAATTTCGCCAAAGGTAAAAAAAAATCCTTAATTTTTTCGCGACCATTTTAATTTGGCTGTCATAGTTCAACCTAATGGTTGGGAAATATAGTTGATAGGTCGCGAGAAATATAAATGACAACCAATTTGATGTGACTATTAGTAACATATTATTTTGGATGCAAAAAAGAAGTGTTCGTGGAGATGGTGTTGAGGAAGAAGATTGAGATGGACAGTGGATCAGAGTTGTTTCTCCTGTACGCCAAAGCTTTCGACGCGGTGAAAGCAAAGGTTGAGATGATGGCTTTCTTGGAGCTAACCCGGGTCTCTCCGCCGAGCCCTTGGTAGCTATGTTACAAAGGAACTGTAGACAGAGAAGGTCGAGGGTTTTTGGTGATGGGGATCCAGTTCGTCGGCGGGGTGGAGTTGGTCGTGAATCGTTTTGGGATGTTCTTGCAGGTTACAGATGATGTTTTCTGCTTGGCTGTTGTTAGGTCAAAGGATGCGAGTGTTATTGGGATGATGGCTCAACAAGGTTACAATGTTGGGTATGATCTGAAAGAAATGACAGTGAGTTTCCAAAAAATGGATTGCCAACTTTTGGAAGGATGATAATTATTGATCAAACACATATGTAATATTCGCGTTGTACTTGTGTTAATGAATTTGTCGGGTATACATGATGATCATGTTTGCTTGTCTTAGACGACTTTTCTTTATAACGAATAGAAGATTATGTATATCGGAACTTACATGTATATATTCAGTTCAGTCTTAGAAAGTTAATAACATAGATTTAGGGTATGTCTACGACGACATTATTAAAAATCCAAGTCAAAGTGACTTCGTCAAAGGCAGACAAATGCCTGGTATAGTGAATATATTGTATATGCTTCGTGTGGTTTATAACGAGCGACCGAGTTCAACATGGTTCAATGATAGATGACTACATCAATAAAAAAATTCGTAAATTTATATAATAAGTATACGAAGGTTGATTGGAGCACCAAATAATTGATAGTTGTCGTGATCATGTTGACTTCTTTGTTTGTAGGTGGAATGATTTCAAGGCCCAATACCTACACCAATGAGCCATTTTAGTATGTTATATAGCACCCATGCTTTAATATACTTTGAGCCATTAGATATTGTTATAAAATATCAGCCATTGGATTGAAGTCATTTAATTATTATTTTTTTCACTCGTTGGAATGGTAACTTGTTGCACAGGTTCGTTACGTAATAATTTAAAAAAAAATTGAAATCCAGTAGGGGTAAAGGCGATTGAGCTCGTCGGAATTCAGAGCCTCTCTTCCTCGGTGGAATTTCAGAGCGTCTCTTCGTCGATAGTGACGGGGTTGATTAGCGGCGACGGCGAACCTGCATCTAGGGCGACGACAACGTTGTGAGAAGAAAGAGATTGGGGGGGTTTCCACTTTACTCTTCCGCGATTGTGAACTGTGCTCTTCCGCTGTGGGTCTCTTCGTCGATATTGAAGGGGTTGAGCATCGATGACGAGAACGGTGAGATTGTGAGGTGGGTCTGATCGTTTTTCAACTTTCCTCTCTTGGGATTTTGTTTCGCGGTGGGTCTGTTCGTAGATAGTAAAGGGGGTGAGCAGTGGCGACGGCAACGAGGACTTGAATTCTGAAGGCGGCGGAGACTCTTTTACTAGGGGAAGACTCAGGGAATCGAAGACTCGAAAGCCCAATCGAAAACGACGAGTCAACTGGCACCAGGCAGGAGAACTTCTCCAATAGCGAGAATTGGGTGATAAAGCATTCGATTTCCCATTTGAAACGACGACTCAGTCATTCATTCGATGTAAGTGGCTGAAATTCTTATCCCCCTTTGATAAACATTCAATTTCTGACATGGATTCAAGTTAGTTTGGGTTAAATATCCCTCTAGCTTCTAGAGCATCTCTTGGAGCAGTTTCAAGTACAATAATGGTGTAACCCATCAAAAAGTTGATCTTGGGGCACCTTGTAATGAATCCTTTAACTTATGCTAGCTTTGAATGTCTGACTTATTTCTCTGGAAATGTCAAGTTGTCTACTATAGAATCGGTTGTCAAATCATAGGATGGTTAGTGAGTGGTAGGAAATTTGATAGTGGGATAGCTGAAGAATGGTTCAGAATGGTAAAAGTACAACTTGTACCAACTAGAGGGGTAAACCTTGGAACAAATAATGGAGGATTATTAGAGATACTTACCAGATAGAAGAATGTGGGTGGGCGAGTTTAGTACGATAGTGCAGAAAGGTCCTTGTGTGCACGCTCTTAAGGTCGATAAAGATGTTTTGTATGCTGACATGGGCGAAGGATCATTCATTACCTGCTGACTTTTGTGACGGGAGGCTCCAAGTTCACGATTACAATTAGAACATATTGCATTGTTTGAAGCGAGTTGAAGTGTTTTAGTCTACTGGTAAAGTTTTGTTGTTGCTTGTTGATGTCCTGGTATTGGTTTAATTGTGGACCTCATAGATGTAGGTCGATGTTGATCGAAATCCTTCTGAAAGCCATTGCAGTTCATCTTGTAGACCGTCTTATTGTTTACAGAATTAGGGGTGAGTTGGTTGATTCTAAACTTGTCATGATAAGTAGCATGTTCTACTCCTGCTGGTCTATTTTCCTTGGTGTGGCTGTGTCTCCAGTGGGAAGGAACATGCTGTCAATACAAAACCCAATGTTTTCTTGGAAACAATCCTAATTAGATCAATATGCTAACATCTTGTCTTTGTGAGTCCTGGGAGAGGAGTCCTAATCATGTTCCCATTGTGGTAAAGCTAGCAACTACTTGTAGTATGCTTGTTGTATGGATGTATTCTAGAAAAGGGTAATCAAAGCATCTGTCTTCTGTGATTCTTTGCATGAGCTTTTCTGTTGATGTGAACTGAAGCATTAGTCTTATGTGATTCTTTGCATTCATTTGAGCTTTTTATTTCGTTTGAATGTTGGCTCCATATACGTTAATGTGATTATTACTTCAGTTTACTATTAGAGCAAGATTGTGATGCAATTGATAGGTTTTGTCGTGATTCATCAAGTGAACCTTGGACTTCATCTCCTCATGCTTAATCATTAGTTCCTTCTTTTATGCATTCCAGTATTATTTTTCTGATTAGAGACTCATCAAGTGATAAGTTTTGGCGTGATTCATCAAGTGAACCTTGGACTTCATCTCCTCATGCTTAATCATTAGTTCCTTCTTTTATGCATTCCAGTATTACTTTTCTGATTAGAGACTCATCAAGTGATAGGTTTTGTCATGATTCATCAAGTGAACCTTGGACTTCATCTCCTCATGCTTAATCATTAGTTCCTTCTTTTATGCATTCCAGTATTATTTTCTGATTAGAGACTCATCAAGTGATAGGTTTTGGCGTGATTCATCAAGTGAACCTTGGACTTAATCTAAACCATGCGTGATCTAAAAAAAAGTTGCTCCAATCTGACCTAGCTAGCGATTGTGTTACTTCCTTTATGCATGTCAGTATTAACTTTTTGATTGGAGAGACTTGATTTGTGTTTTATGGAGGCAAATCGAATAGGAAAGTTCATACTCAAAGTTTTATTCTTTTCAGTTTGGCTTGAGACAAGTTGGATTGTTGTTTGCCTTCAAACTCAGTCTGCAGAGAAAATTCTGGAAGAGTTGATTTGGTCTTGTTGGTATTGTAGTGTCGTTACCGTTGCCTGTTGATTACAATTTGGACTATTAACGGAATGGTCTTGCTTGGCTGCATGAAAAGTGCAATTGATTTTGTTAGTGAAGAATTAGTTCATGAAATCAGGGTGACTTCAGTTTTAGCCAGTTTGGATGGAAATAGAGCAGGAATGGATTAGAGATGATGTGAAGCAAAAGAGATGATTGATTCCATTTTGGACTGTTAATGGAGAAAGTAAAAGGGTTTAATATATCGGTCTCTGGTGTCATCATATGCAGATTGAAGTGTTGGAAAATAAACTTTCATGTCGTTGACATTTTCATCTTTGTCTTCTGTTAGTTGTAAGACCGATATCTTTTCAATAATATGTTAGGGAGAAGTGGAGAAGCTTAGCAAACTAAGCTTCTTTAGGTTTATACTTTTGTTCAGTGCTGCTGGGATTGAAGTTCACACTTGTTCTGTGCTACTGGGATTTCTAGGGTTCTTGTGGCAAAAGAGACAGTTGTAAGTGTATGGGAAGCCCACAAACCAGGGTGCGACTTGGCTCAAGTTCAAGCATAGCAAGCGATCGGTTGCAGAGGAACGTTCTGGGAGGAAGTTTGGTGGACTCAAGGTTCTCAATTCTTACCGAATCATCAAGCTATGTACAGTTGGACACTACATTTAACTTCATTGTAAGTTATATTCAATAGAACAATGTAGACTGGAATCGATAGTGTTGATAGATAGACTGAACGAGATTCCCTATTAGTGTAGCTTATTTTTATGACCAGATTAAACCCTATTTAGCTTATGTTGGTGGCTGCAAAGTTCTTTTCCATATCTCCCCCCTCTTATTCTTGTTGGTGTTATGTTGCCCAAGTTAGTAGGGATATCAGTTGAATTTTTCAATTTCAAAGCATGTTGAGGTTGAATGAGATCAGAGCTAGGAAAATGAAGTATTCTGTTTTGCTTATCTCATGAAAAGATGTCACGGCTGTGAAATTTCCTGAATTAGCCGTGATAATGTTTAGTGGAATCTGGGTATTTTTAGTTTCACGACTTCATTTAACGGCCGTGATTTATTAAGCCAAAGCCGTGAGATTGCCTGGGGATATGAAAACTGCTCTTTACTTCTCACGGGGCATGTCACGGCCGTGAGAATTCGAGAATGAACCGTGAGAACTGTTTAATGAAAGCTGGGTGTTTTGGGTGAAATTTCTATATATGCCAATGGCGGATTTCATGGTTAATTAGTGTACTCAGGTATTGAGGTAGGGGTTTTCAGTTCTTCTGGTAGTTGGAACTTGATATCGAGGCAAGTGTGCTTGTGAGCTCTGGTATAGTCTTGCATTTTTTCAATATTGATAAATGCCATATATTGAAAACCAGGATTGAACTCATTACCTGGAGAATGTGTTTACCAAATGATTAAATTGATCCTTTTCTAGAATGAATCTTTGTCATAACCCCGTTTTCTAGAATGTGTTTAACTGTGAAAGTTGCTTCTTTAGATCAGTGGAGGACGACTCTGGCTTTGTATATTTTGTTGTTATTCTTGGGTATGATTATAATCTGTGTTTCAAGGCATGCTTATAATTTTTTTTTATTATTTTTCAGTTTGTTAAAATTGTTCTATAATGAAGACGAAGAGGCATGACCTTTTTAGCACGCGATGTTCTCCCAGGAAAGTATTCTCCCTAGTCTCAAATTTAGAGGGTTGTCAATCAGAGGCCATTGAGAGATGTGGCTCTGGTCGGATTCTCGAAGTCAAGGGAAGAATGTTACAACGTGAGTTGTTGGAGAAACTTTTAAAGAGCTTTAATCTGGAAGAAAGCACAATTCAGGCATATGGGCTGAAAGTGCATATTCCGGCCAAAGATTTCCAGTGAATTATGGGTGTCTCGAGGGAGGGACAGATATCATCTTGGATGGTGAAGAAGTGGTTGGAAGATCTGAGGAACTGAAAGAATTTAGAGTGTATTCGACTCGTGACTGTGACCGACAGGCGATTTCCACAAGCTTGATGCGAAAGACGTTGTTGAAGATAAAAGAGAGCAACGATCTATTTGTTAAAACTTTTATATTGTGCGTAATGGGGGTGCTACCTACTAGAAGAGATGACATTTCGTTATCTTGAGTATACGCTGTCACCGATGTTGCAGATATTTCTAAGAAGAATTGGGCATCCTATTGCTTCAATGAATTGGTGAAATGCATCTGCGACCATAATGCTGATGGGAAAAAGTATATACCTGGTTGCTTGCTGTTTTTGGAGGTAAATAATTGCTTATCCCTACTTTCTACATATTCGTAATGATTAATCATCATGTTGAATATAGCTTTTTTTTAGTTAATATTCTTGGAGCATGCGAATGGTATTTTCCACACCATTGATGGAAGTTTGGATTTGATGAGTTGGGGGAGCGGAGACGTAGAGTTATTGTTAACGAAAGTGGTAAGACTGATAGTGCAAAATGGTATATTTGATTCTTTTGACGAGTTTGAGCATGCTAATGGTTTATTTGGTTCCCTTTTTAATTAATTTATAGGTTTCAAGTAGTTCGGTGAAAAGATCATCCGAGGATGCAGGTTTGAAATCACCTCCAAGGAAACGGGGAAAAAGAGACGGGAAACGGCACAAAACCGACGGGGATGAGCTGCTTCTCTGTGAGCGTATTGATGCTCGGTTTAGCACCATGGAGGATAGATTTGACAACTTCAGTCAATAATTTAAAGTCGCAATGGGTGATGCTGCTTCTAGAGATGAGGAGCTAATGGTCGGGTTATGAAAATGGAAAATGAATTTCGGGCATTTAGAGACGAAATTGGTACTGCAGTGAAGTCGATCATGGAAATAGTGAAAGCAAGTAGAGTAGACACGTTGTCAAGGGAGCAGCCTGCTGAAGTGGAAAAGGAGGATCAGAAGGATGAGGCTACTAGAAGGGAAGAGGACCATCAGAAGGATTACGTTGAAAAACCAATTGAGTCCATTCCGCCTACCTCTGAAGGTGTGAAGACTCAAGGGTTAGATGTTAAGATTCCTGGAGAGGCTGAGGTGAACTTTGACAACTGTTCTGAATCTCCTTCTGTCAACGTTGTGGAAAAGGCTCCTTGCAAGGTGGAGAATGCGTCTAAAGTGCATAAATGCATACTTTTG